CCACACCCACCCACCCCCATTTCCTTGACAATGATGCTTTGTCGATGGCATAATCGACCGGTTTGAGATTTGTGGTGTAAAGATCGATTTACCTGCACAGTATTCTTTTTCTTAGAAGCATAGTGGCGTTTGGGATAGGAAAGAAATGCTTCTTCGTTGGTGTAGGTTGAGTGTTACTTTTCTTTTTCCTTTTTTCTGTCACTCAGCTTTCTTCAAACATTTTATGATGCTGGTTATGAGAATTTTTTAATCACAAAATATAAGATGAAGTCCTAAAAGCTGATTGATTGTCATGGACTGGAAATGAGCTACTTACTCTAAATTGTATTTTCTAAAGATATTTTGTTCGAGTAATTTCTCTTTTCATAAAATGGTAATAATCAGTGAATTTCGTACTGCAAACCACACTAACCGATAACAAATTGGACATTCAAATTCAAACCTTGTAACCAAATCCAAACCTTGGCCACTCGGTTATCAGCACGTCCTTTTCTTTTCTTTTCTTTTCTCTGTACATCTAAAAAAGCCAGTCCAATCCATCCCAATTGGACCACATACTAGTCAGAAAACTTACGTGAACAAACATGGACTACCATAAAACCAGAAAATCTTCTCCGTTCTTTTGTGTATAACAAGTGTGCAGTATCCAGTAAACAGGTAACATCAACATAAATGTTTCCTAATTTTCTTTGCACTTTCTGCATATAATAAGGTAGCTCACAGAAAGCAACATAATGACCGAGTGGCAAATGACGGAAGTTGGCTTAACAAGAGCCTCCCACCACCACCCGTTAAAATCATGACCAATCAAATTGCTTAGAACAGCTGCATCACCTTCAGTCGGTAAAAACTCGCATTGGCACCTTGGTCTTACTTATCAATTTAATTTCATAGCTGCAAATGACGCTGCAACATCCATTGCCTCACCAACATGTGATATATTAGTTGCCTGAAAGGAAAAAACTTAACCACCGTGAATACAAAAGTAACAAGCAACGGACATCCCACATAAGAATTAAGGAAGAGGAATATCACGTTAGATAATTTTGCAATGCACATTATGTGCTTCTATGTCTTCCCATTTAAGGGCTGCAAATATGTGCAACCATCACAAGTAGTAACATTTCAGTTTCTAACTGAATCTACTTTGTGCATTGCACAAATATTTACAGATATGCCAGTAAAATCAAAACTATTTTAAGAGCTAGAAAAGAATAGTCCACCACTAGTTCCCAGAATTTTCTTCGATAACTATAGAAACTTAGAAGGTAACAGAAATGACTACGATGCAAACCTGGCCTTGCGCGAGACCACCTTTTCCTCCTCCACCTTTACCTCCCAAGGGCTTCAAAGCTGCATTCAACCAGTCTTTAACGTTCAACTGCTGGCACTTGTCACCTTTCTCAGGTACACCAGCACAGACCAAAACTTTGTTAGCAGCTTCATCTGTGCTAAATACCAGAACTGCCATACCCTGTTCAACCAATGAAACAGTCATGACTTGTATATATATTTTACCTTTTAGAGGAAAACACAAGCTTAAGTTTAACATGTACGAGCTAATAACCTTCTGTTCCATGACTTTGACAACTGCTTCACGGACTGCAGCAGTGTCCAAACCCACGCTAATCTGCAGGATGCAGTATGCTTTTCCACCAGAAGCTGCAGCTTCAGCCATTTCTGAGGCAGCTTTAACAGCTTTTTGTACATTCTCTGCAGCTATCTTCTTTTTGGCCTTTATGACTTGATTCTGAAGTAAACCATCATCATATTACTTTTCTTTCCAAGAAAATTTTATTTACCTTCAACCATGACACAAACAACACATACCTGGAGAGCAGAGAGTTTGGCCTTGAGATCAGCTTTCCTAACAGTGGGAATTTGTGCCCTCTCCACGGCAGCATTCAAAGAAGTTACTTTCTGAAATTAAGAAATTGCTGGTTGAATGCATCATAAGGAGCAATAGTAGCAGTAGGAACAAAGATCAGTCCTAAATTTGGAAAGCCCTGGATCAACTACAATTTGCCAAGATTAAAGAACAAAACGATGCTTGGCCGAATAGATTAGCCAGAAACTGTCAAGCTCCGCGACATCCCAAGGAGGAAGATACAGTGCAGGGGACAAATAAGAAACATGACTGAATAAAAAGGTACATCTTACTAACAACTCTGGCACATTTTGCTCTATAATTCAGCTTCATAAACAAAGATGACATGAAGTAGTTCTATAACTAAGTTCTTTTCGTCTGATATGAGTAGCTTATTTAAGCAGTTCTATAACCATGTAGCACAATGGCTGAACAAATGGCAGCCCGGTGCACTAAGCTCCCGCTATGTGCGGGGTCCGGAGAAGGGTCAAACCACAAGGGTCTATTGTACGCAGCCTAACCCTGCATTTATGCACGAGGCTGTTTCCACGGCTTGAACCCGTGACCTCCTGGTCACATGGCAGCAACTTTACCAGTTAGCCAAGGCTCCCCTTCAATGGCTGAACAAATGAATCATTAAATAAGAAGCAATACTTAGAAGTGGAAGCAATGAACTGTCCAGTTAATGACAGCCCAAGGAGCAAGAGCTTAAGGAGGACAGTTTGATTGGATGAGCACTAACATGACATATGAGTCTGATGTTAAAACTTGTAGAAGGGTGACTCTTTCCGTCTGCTATAGTCAATGAAACTACTGTATCAAGGACTTCATAGCCCAACTTTTTTGGGGGTTAGCACTATTGCCAATCAATTTCACTTCAAATCCTCACGATAAAAAAAATTCATCTCAACAAATCAAATCCTCAATGATTACAACTCTTCAGGATATTTTACTTCATTTCCAGGAAAGAATGCCTGGTTTTATCACACAAAGGATAGAGACCAAAACAGAATTCAGATTTTACTGGTTCAAGAAGAGTGGGTTATACAAGCACTAACCTCTTCCAGCAAGCTTTCATCAGTCTGGAATGCTTCATTTACTTTCTGTTCGAGTGAGGATGCCAAATCTGTGGCCTCAAAAGCACGATGAGTTGTAACAGCAGTAACTCTTCGGATTCCCTTGGCAATTCCCTCCTCAGACATCAGAGCAAATGCCTTAGCCTCCCTTGTATTAGAAATGTGTGTTCCTGAGTATCAATAAATTAGTCACAGGAACATCATAAATGCACTACCTCAAACCCCGCGCATAGCGAGAGCTTAGTGCACCGGGCTGCCCTTTTTTTAACATCATAAATGCACCCCCATAAATAGTAATTAGAGAATAAAAGAAAATTACCACCACAGAGCTCAGCAGAATACGATAACCATTCTTCATTTTCTGGATTAGCAAGAAGGTCCTCCACTTTACGACCAACTGACACAATCCGGACAGGATCGGGATACACCTACAACCCAACCAGGACAAAAGTAAGACACAAGTTTAAATGTCAAAACAGAATTAAGTCGGGCTAAATCGTGAATGCTTACTTCTCCAAAGACTGCTCGAAGACCTTTTATACTCTTGGCATCAGACAGCTTTGCCTCCTTTGAGAATACATCTAATTCAGACTTAATCTGCTCATTAACGATCGATTCAATTTTTCTTAGCTCCTCTGGCTTTACTGGCTTCCCTGTTCAAGGCATTAGAAGATTATCATTCTTCATATCGAGATGCCCATACTCACAACAACAGCTTCAACCACACATACCCAAAATAAAAAAAGAAGGAAGCTACTTACCATGAGAGAAGTCAAATCTCAATTTTTCAGGAAGAACAATGGAACCTTTCTGGTCAACATGGTCGCCAAGTACTTCCTGAAAAGTTCAATAACATCATCAGACAATCAACTCCAGCAAGTATGTAAACAATCGAATTGCCATCCTTTTATATTCTGCTATGGAAAATACCTTTAAGGCAAAATTTAACATGTGAGTGCAGGTATGATTCGGAGCGATCAATGTACGTCTGTTATAGTCAACCTGCTCAATCAATCAAGGAAATCAAACCTAATCATGTAAGTACAAAGAGGCACAACAAATCCAAAAGCCTGCATCATATGGTTTTAAAAGGCCAAGCAGAAGAGAATGTCACCTTACAAATTACTTTATCACCAACAGAAAACTTGTGTGCCTGTCCACTGAAAGATCCTATATGAAGAACGAATCCTCCATAAACTTGAACATTACAAACTTGAAAAGAGCCACTGGGACTCTCCAATGATCCAGTGTCATATATCTGTATCCAATAGTCAAGTAGCTTTATCAGAAACAGGAAACTAGAGTACCACATGACATAAGGAGGAAAAAAAAAAGATGGATGAATTTACAATGCCCCAAGCAACCAGAGTTTCCTTATTACATTCTATAAGCTTAAGTTTCTCAAATTGCAGAACTCTAGTTGAAAGAAGCAAAAACTTGGTAAAATGAGCATTATTCTGATGTTCTTTTTTATGCATCAAGTGACAAAACAAACATTAAGGTTACACTATCGGTTATCAAAAGAAAATGGCTCCTCAAGTTTCTGAAGAATGTGATATCCTCACAATGTCTAACCTCCATAACTTCTCATGCTGCATTTGATTGAAAAGAAAGGAAGAAAAGATGATAGGAAAATATCAATTAGATTTCACTACAGACGAGGGACGGGCTTCTCTATTTGCAAAGCCCTTCCACCTTCAACCAATTGGGGTTTACGTCACCAAGAGGAAAGAGAGAAAAATGCTACCCCTGCGAGGGAGGTGGGTGGGGATTCAAAAGTTATCAAATCAAAAAGGAGAAATTAGATTTTAATATAGCTCTAACAATATTCATTTAGTGTCTATATAAAAAGCAATATTCATATAGTGCTTACTAA